AATTGTCAGTACCAAGAAGCGACTGATATAAAATAGTTCTTGTATTCTCATTAAAAATGCCCGTTTGCTCTATTTTTAACTCGACGTTTGCGTGTTTCTCTACGTCAATAGTCAAAACTTCTTCCAATCTGTACACAACGCGTTGCGCGCAATAGATGTAGACAAAATCGGTGAGATTTTCAATTCTTGACCGAGTAATTGCGGCCAACGTTTGCAATGTTTTGTCATCTTTAAATTGTTGGAATCCATGGCAGAGTAAATAAAGCGGGAAAAATCCAATGGGTTCTGCTCTGGCCATTTTGGCAACTGAATTATACGCCTGCACAAAAGTTACAATTTTGTCGCAATCCAACAAAATTGTGTAACTATAAAACCCTCCGTAGATATGCAGAAATCCGTGATTAAATTTTGTAAAAGCACAGTAATATGGTCGCGCGTACGCTTTAGTGTGAGTATGCGGTCTCAAGTTGTCGGGATTGACATTAGACAGTACGACAACTCCTTCCAGAGGTTGTAACTTATCCGCTCTATGAATTTGCACTATATGAACGTGCGGATGGGAAACGTGCATTAAATTGTGCAAAATACTTCTGGCCGTTGGCCGCTTTTAATCCGTGCAGACTAATACAAAATCTAACGTACGTCATACCGCAATATTGCCGCAAATGTTGGGATGCCGCGCGCAGATGTTGTGTAAAACTTTGTGCGTACGTCGGCCAGTCTGTCGGATAAATATTGTACTGATTTTTGGCGCACAACTTGGCGTTTTTTGCATCGGTTTTCGCCGACTTGCTGTGCGCCGGCAAATCTCAGATGGCTGGCAATACTATGCAATCAAGAAAGGCGCGATGTACTTGCGCCAGCGGAGTCATCGTGGAAGCACCATTTTTAAAAAAGTCCGATGTCTCATCGTATTGGAACACGCAGTAAAGTGGCAAATTATCCAAATATCCTAACGTAAATTCATGTAAATTATCGTCGGGATTAACATTCTCGGATTCAACGATAACATGAGGATATTTCATTACGGATTGCAATACGCGTAAATTCGGGAACAAGTCGTCCCGTTTTTGCAAATATTTAATTACCTTTGTGTTCTGTGAAGCAGATATCAAAGTATTCTCCGTAAGCAATTGAAATCGCAAAGAAGATTTGTAGGGCTTCAACGACGAGCAAGAAATTACAACAGAATCTATGTCCGACGTTATTTGAATGTCTCCATCCGGAAATTCGCCCGCAATATTTCGATAAGTAATCGGTCGACAATTTGGAATATGCGCCATTTGTAAAAATTCATTATTTTGCTTAAAGAATAAAAAATATTGTTCAATTATGTTAAAACAAACAAGTTGCAACAATTGAAGTTTTGGATCACAGTCGCAGATCTAATCAATGAAAAAAACGTGTTTTTTGGTTTGTAATGCTTTGCAATTATAAAGTGCGTAAATGTAACAAAATATTCAGAAACTAGTCGTCTAGACAAAGCGAAAAAGCCTTCAAACACCTCTCTATCTTTTTCCGTTAAAAAAATACGCGTTTTTTTTCTTTCTACACTTTGGTTTTAAAAATTGCGTAAATGTAATTAGGTGGTCTTCAACTATTCGCCGAGACAAAGACAACGAGCCATCGATCACCTTTGTAGCTCTATTTGTTTGAAAGTTACACTTGCTGTATACCTCTATCGCAGCAGGGTGCAGAGTGATTTACGTTCTCGAAAACTTAAAAATATCAAAACATGATTTTGACAAAAGTTGTAGATCTTGACGAGATCGATCGAAAAGGTCCTATACTTTGACACTCTATCTTGAATATTTTAGAAGTTAAGAAAAATTTTTTTTAAGTCAAAATCAAACAAACTAGTATCTAGTATCTAGTATTATCTAGCATCCAATGTCTTCTAGTATCAAGTATCTTCTAGATACTAGTATCTAGTATCTAGTATCTAGTATTTGATGAATCAGGACGACTTTGACATTTGACTGCCACAACATAGTATAAGATGTGATAGGTTAGGTTAGGTTGTGACCGGACGACCCCCAAGGTTCGCAAGGTCGCGAACAGCTTGGCTTGTCTGATGTCAAACTTTGGGGGTCCCAAGGAGAAAGTTCGCCGTCTCTATGTGAACGTGGTGCACGCGGTGGCCCTGTACGGGTCACCGTTGTGTGCGGACGTAGCGGTAAGAGCCGGCGAACGGAGCAGGTTGGCTCAGCTACGTTCCGCTCAGAAAACGGCGGTACTCCGCGTTGTGTGCGGGTACCGCGACGTCTCCACGGAGACGGCGAATGTTTTGGTGGGTGTGCCTCCGCTAGCCCTCCTCGCGTAGATATACTCGGCCCAATATCACAGTCGGGTCGAGCTGTTGCGGGAGGGCTTGGAAGAGAACCAACTGGCGGAGGCATTGGCTCAGTCGGAGCGTCAGGCCCAAGACCAGCTGCGCCAACGGTGGGTGCAGCTTCTGGACGAGCCGTGGGTGGCCGTCCAGAGGGTCGTTGCGGGTGCCCGGCCCTTCATCAATCACTGGCTGGACAGTTGCACGGGTCGCTTGACCTATCGGGTTACGCAGGTGCTCACCGGACATGGGTGTTTCGGTGAGTACCTGCACAGGATAAGTAAGGAGCCGACGACGCAGTGCCACGAATGCGGGGCGGCCAGTGACACGCCGCAGCACACTCTGGAAGAGTGCCCAGAGTGGGCAGAGGAGCGTCGTGAACTGGTCGCCAAGACGGGTGAACCCCCGTCTTTGGGAGCCCTCTTCAGAGCATTAGTCTCTGGGGAGGAGGACGTAGGACACGCCGCCGTCTCCTTCTGCAAGACGGTTATGCTGCGGAAAGAGGAGGCTAAGCGTGCCAGGGAGCGGAAGCCCGGCAGAGTGAGGAGAAGGAGAGGGGCAGGTGCGCCCGGCCACGCCGCCGATCGCGCGCGTCGACGCCCTCCCTCACCACAACCAGGATGACGCTAAGTCCGGGGGGGCTGCCTCCGTTCGTAAGGAGCGCTGCTTGTCTCCTCCCTCGGACGGAGTATAGCGTTGAATCGCGGGGGGTAGGTAAAAGTTAGGGCCGCGGGCGCGAGGAGGCCGGGTCCCTCTCATGACCCCCAACGGCACTCCATACTTTCACCACGAAGCCAAAGAGCAAGCCAGGTGGAAGCCTGGCTCAACCATTGCATAAGGCTCACTTAGGAGGGGCGACAAGGTGTGGGTAAGCCGCACTTTGTCGCCAAGTGTTATATTATATGGGGCGTGTTTCGTTTGACCACAGTACGATTTGACACCAAATTAATGGACACAAAATTATTGGACACAGATTTATTCGACACCAAATTATTTGACACCGTACGATTCGACACCAAATTATTCGACACCGTACGATTCGACACCG